AGTGCCTTGGAGCCAGTGCTTCAGTTCTGAGGTACAATCACCAAGCCCTGAGGTGTCATGGCCTCATTCTCAAAACTCAATCCCAGCCCACAGCGTGGCGTCACTCAGCCTGGCTCACACGCTACTTGGGAGCTACAGGCGGGGCATCACCGGCCTGGCTTATTGCTTTCAAGACTACACGTCAGCATCTTGGCCAGACCCACATGCATTGCTGTAAGGGAATAGAGACAAGTCTGCACGTACCAAACACAGAAACAGGGCCAGGTTTAGCCAAGATGGAGACAGCTGCTCTTCCTTCAAGGAGAGCTGGGTTGGTGCTCCTGCACAATTTCACAGCTGAGTGAAATGGGGCACAGGCAAAATTAAACAACAACAACAAAGCCCCAAAGGTGGGAGCAGCACACTGGGTCGGTGGCTTTTGAACGGTACACAGCAAACAGCCAGAGGACTGACTTTGAAGTCTGATTTGTGAGAGAAATCAGTGTTCAGCACAGCGGCAGAGGAACCCTTTCACGCCCTAGCTCCAGCTCCTCCTCCCTTTTGCTCTTGCTGTTTTACTATTTTTCTGCCTCCATGAACGGCTGCCCTCTGCCATGTGCCACTCTGCCTTGGAGCTGGCTGAGTATGGACTGAAAGCTCCACTAACTGTGAGCTAAATAAACTTTTCCTTCCTTCATTTTGGGTGTCAGATATTTTCTCTCAGTCATGAGAAGAAAAGTACCTGAGACAACATGCTAACAGTTAATGCTTAAATTTTTTTCTTTTCCTCTTTAATTTCTTATAAGTTTTTTTTAACCACTTTTTCCAGCTTATATCTGATAATCTAAGCAACTATTTTGAAGACAACATTATGAAATATAACAACCATTGTTGAATTATTAATTTGTTTAATGAAATTCAGTATCATATCTAATTTTTAAACTATTTTTTAATCTTTTTTTTTTTAAGAGCAGAACATATTTATTGGAGAGAAAGGAAGCTTCTGCTTGAGAAAGGGACAGAAGGGCTCCTGAGTGGAATGCCCTACTATTTTTTATTCTCTTTAAAAAATAAAACAAAATTTTTATTCTTTTTTTTAAAAAAAGGGAAAAAAAAGACTAGGCTCCATGCTTTCCCATCTTCTGGTGGGGCAGCTGCAGAGGCCTCGGATACCAGTTACTCTTTCCATGACTTGAAGTTATTTTGTGGATCTCTGTATATCCATATGTTAAAATCAGTGTTTGCTAAGTGTATGTGACTAGGTTAACAGCTAGGGAGTCCCCAGTAGGCCTTCTGCTCTCTGTCACCTGTCATCCTGCACAACTGCCCGGCTACTTCCCACTCCACTCTTTTCCTGGCTCTGTCTCCCATAGTAGGGGTCAGTAGCACCTCCCCATCTCTCCTAGCTGGGGCTGGGGCTGAAGTGAGCACTTATGTCATGTTGGACTGCAAGGGCTGTCAGAAGAGCACCAGGCAGGTCTCCAGGGAACACAAGACAGTCCAGGACAGCTGGGCAGATAGCTCAGCGGATTAAAGAGCCTGCAAACAGGAGCAGGGACACGGGGTTTGGAGTTCGATCCACAGGCCTGCTGTGCCGGCCCTGCCCCCCCAGGGCACGCTGAGATGACAATTGGGACTGGGAGTGGTGGCG